CGACCCCAAGGGGTAAAATCAACAACGACTCCTTCAAGAAGGAGAGGCGAATGCATAATAAACAATATGCAAGGTATGAAATCTACTGTCTTTTCATAAAACACAAATGAAATAAAAAGAGGTTCAAACCAATGTCATATAAGTTACAGACAGCTATATAAAAAAAAATCTTCAGGCCTCGCCGCCAACTGCCGAGTCATCACCAGGCGGGGAAGAGTTGGCATCACCAGCAGGAGGAGGAGCATCATAAAGAAAGCCTAAGTCCCACTCAGGATGCTCTTGTTTTATCAAATCGACGATTTGTTGACCGGCGGATTGAAAATCCTTGGTACGAATGTCGATGAGCTCCGGAGAAGCCTTGAACTCCTCAATAATCTCTGCAACTGCTGCAGCCTCGGCTTTGGCTTCCTTCTTCCCCTCAGCCTTTCCCTCAGCAAAACGTCTCTTCACCGCCTCAGTTGCTTCTGCAACTTCATCTTAGATGTATCTACCCGCTTTGTAAGGTCCTCAACCGAGGCGGTTAGCCTAGCCAGTTCACCTTCCAAACTCTTCAATTTGGCCACGGCCACATCTCTCTCCTCGGCAGTGTTCGTACACTTAGTCTTAGCATCATCGAGAAGAGAGTTAAGCTCGGCCTTTACGCTGTCCATCTCTTTATCCCGCTCCTCAACCTTAACTAGGTCGAGAAGGTTGAGAATGACGAGGATTAGGCCCTAAAAAATTGGAGGTCAGAAAATAAAAATACAAAGCGGCGAAACCAGCAAAAATAAAAGGCAGCTCGATCAAGTCTTACGTGAATTTGGAAAGAGATCTGCTTCCGCTGGCGATCAACCAAAGAAGATTGAGTGGCAGCAACCCAGTGTGGCTCGAGAAAAGACTCATATAGAGCCTGGAAGATAAGGGAGAAGTGAGGGAAAAGTTTCAGCATTGCCCCAATCTCGGCGTCAGAGACGTCCGGGACTTGGAAATTAGGATCCATAGTTTTTGCACCCGGGATAAGCACACATTCCCTTGGCGCCAAAGGAACGTTTACATCAGGAATGGGGACCGTCGGCATCTAAGTTTCTACCACCGGCGTCTTCTCTTTACGCCTCTTTTTTAGCACAGGATCCACCTCTGACGCCGAGGGGACCTTTGAGGCTTTCTTTTTCCTCGGTACCTGAGAAGAAGAGCTAGCTTTCTCCTTTCCCCTATAAGGAGGTTGTTGGTTCGGCAGGGGCTGCTGGCTTGGCTCAGACGGCTGACTGCCAGGAAGCTGGATCCTCAAAGATGCCATTTCTACAGAAACGACGAGACAAAAATATAATCGACGCTTGGATAAACAAAATGCCATTATAAGAAAGGAGGCAGGAACAAGAATTTACCTTCGTCGCTTAAATGGAAGTATTCGCGGACAGCGTCGAGGTCAGTAGGGTCTGGGAGATCGAGAATTAACCCGTCACTTTGAAGATTGGCTTGGGTTAAGAGGGTGTCAATATGGAAAACCTCAGACGGGAGCGAGAAGACCTTCTCAATCCTCACCAAACTGTTTCCAGAGAACTTCGGCCGGTCCTGACTCACTGTAAAGATAAAAAGACTGTCAGCGTAAGAAGGAAGAAAGCAGAGTAAGGTAAAAGAAAGGGAATCAAAGTCTCACCCATGTTCCCAAATGATGCCTACACCTTCCTTCGGCGGGGCAAGCAGTCATCGAGAATAAAATTAAAGGGTCCGCGTATCATAAAAAATATAGGTTTCCACCCATGTGATGACGAGGGAATGCCCAAAATTAGCTTGCCAAATCTGGGCTGAGATCTCCCGTGCCCACTCAAAAAATACCACCCCTCGTACTTGGCGACATGGCACAGTCTATACATAAATCTAAACTCATCCAGAGAAAGATCCATGTTAAACTGCTGATTCCATAAAATCCAGGCACCAGTAAAGCAGTACCAGAAATTTGGCGCCAATTGGGCAGGGGAAATGCCGTAAAAGTGGCAATAATCTTTTACAAATGGATGAACCGGAAGGGTCATCCCCGCGGTAACGGCCCTGGTATAGACATGGAGGAATCAGGTCGGAGGCATACTAGTCCTAAAATGCATGTCTGGGAGGAGGTATTCGAACCACCTCCCGTCAATGCATCCTTCCTTCACCGCCCGAATGATGTCCTTATTCCGGACTCTCGACGCCATGATGTCCGCTGTGAAGGAAGGCCTGTCTGGGTCTCCACTTGTAGCAGCCAGCGGGGCATCCACCAGAGAAGCGGCGACTCCACACACGCTACCACCTGTGAAAGGCCTCCTATCGACGTCTTCGTCGATCATTCGGTAGACACTGTCATAAGTATCGCTACAGTCGTCGCTTGGGCCGGCCATATGTTCCTCGACTTCCCGCAATAGTGAGTCGCAGTCCGACGAGGAAGATGACCATGAAATCTCTGCCACAGAAGGGGAGTCTGGTCGTACAACAGCCGGTTCCTCTCGACGGGTTTTTTTTGGGGCCATTATTCTGGTAATAAAAAAGACAAGGAGCTACATCAAAATCCTAAGTCGAGAGGAAAGAAAAGATGGCGGTCATTCTAAGCGACGACCGTTCTAGACAATGACTACTAAGACACCTTAACATAACGTCGACCATTCATATGAAAATGGTAACGACAAATGCTCATGACAACCAAGGTTTATTAGAACCCAGAAGCCAGACTCGCATTCAACCAGGAAGCAGGAAAAACTACCCTATGTGGGTCGAATAAAGCATAGTAAACTACTGTCCTCTACATTTTGCATATCAACACCTATGATTCACTGGGAAAGCTAGTAAAATCATCCAGCAACACAAAAAGCAACGATTAAAGCTTACCGATGAGTTGGAGTCTGGACAGAGTTTTGAAACCAAGTAGCTTCATGATACACCAAAGGAAGCAGGGAGCACAAGTCAGAGATTCGCAGGGAGAAATTCACGCAGAGTAACGGCGGTTCTAAGGAATTTTTTGGAGAGAATGACTTCGGTTTGAAGAATATTTAAAGAAAAATAGGCCCCCGACCCCTGACCGTCAGATAAGGCTTGTGGAAATCCAACGGAAGGGGTAATTTTCCCAGATCGAACGATAGCAAAGCAAAGGCATGAAGATGAAGGGATGCGATCCAAGGGCTCATATTCATCTTTTCAAAATAAAGCCTTACATGGGGAAGCGACCGACGCGACGGTTGCACTCCTCGAGAAAATCCAAAGCATCCAGACCATCATTGCGAATGAAGGCTCAGGACCGGTTTCCCACACCCGAAGCACGGAAGGACGACTGGACCTAAGCTCGAGGCTGTCTAAAAGAAACCCTCGACCTGGGGGGTAGCTGTTATGGGAGAAAATATGAAGGACACGTGGAGGAAGGGCAATATGACACGTGGCCTTAACCTCTCCTCGAAAAGCAACAACCCTCGACGTCTAGGACTCCCTTCCACTCCATCGTCAAGAGCCCGAGTAAGAAGCCCAACTTAGGGCGTCGATCTCATCTGGCGTCGACGGGTCGTACCGTCGACCTTACAACATAGAAATCCCTCGTCATAAAATCCACCGCCAAGAAGAACAATTGGGCTAAACAACACTGGTGACGAGGGGAATGCTCCTTGGGGTAAAGCCTAACGTGGCGAGTTGCGTACAGTAATGGGGGGTGTCTGCAGTACAGGCATTAAATGCAAAGCCTTAAACCGCCCCTACGGGGGACAGAAAAAGGTTACAGCTGTGCACAGAGCCGTAATGGGAGACTGATTGGCTAAGTGAACAGTGCGCAAAAAGTGATTAGTGGGCTACGAGCTGGGCCTAGAAAGGCAGACCACCTAAGTGCTTTTTCAGCCTACGGGAGAAACCCCCCTCATACGGAAAAGAGGTTGATTTTTTAGAGAAAAAAGAACGGGAGAGCAATTTGTAAATTGTAACAATCTCAAAAGAAATAAAAAAAAACACAGTGGATGTAGCTCTTCATTTTATAAGAGTGAACCACTATAAGCCTTGTGCGTTTTTCTACTTTAAGTATTTTTTCTTATATTGCTCACTACACAAAACATACCACAAGTACATCAAACTCCTACATATAACCTATATTTGAGCCGATAATCCGACAGGAAACTCAGAGGTAAACCGGCATGTTTTTGTTGGTGAAAATTCACCGTCAACAGGGTATATGGGTGGGGTTTTATTCGTCTTTTCATTGTGAATGCATAGAAAAAAATCATCTCAATCAAAATTAAAACGAAAAAGTTATAGCATTTTTAAGAATAGAAAAAATAATGTTCATTAACTTGAGTTTAAGTTTATTAACTCGAATTGAAGAGAAAACTTGAACTCGAGTTTAGCCCCAAACTCGAGTTCAAACTCAAATTTTACAAAAGAACACGAACTTGAATAAAGGTGTAACTCGAGTTTAAATTTTTTTTGAGTTTCATTGCAAAAGAACAACCCCTTAATAACTTATCTCTTGAAATTCTATTGTTTAAATTTTGTCTCCCAACTTAAAAAATTATCATAATATGTCTTATTTTGATGATAATTGTGTTAAAAAATTCGAATACAAAATATAGAAAATATGCAAAGTTTATCCGTTTATAGCACTGTACTCTTCATTTTCAAATTCCAACCTAGTGTCATCCCCTTAATATAATAAACAAAACATTTATGAATAATCATCTCATTTAAAATATATAACTCATTTTTTTAATTGGATGAGTCCGGTTATATCAGGTTGAGGAAAATTGTACCTGAACGCACTAAATTAAAAATTTGGTCGAGTAGATAAGAACAACCTTAGTTTTGAGTTAAACACGGATCTAAGTTTAGATTGGATGGGTTTTGTCGGGTCGATGGGTTAATTAACATTGCTAGGCATAACTGCTAATAAACTGCCCAAACTTTAACTCTATCATCATTCATCAGTTAAAGGTAACTGCTTCTAGTTTATTAATTTAATGACTAAATTGCAAAGAAAAAAAAAATTAAATATAAAAATAACAAACTAGAAAAAGTTGAACGGCATACTAAAACGCCTTGCTTATTTTCCATTTCCCTTGCTTTCATTTTGAAAGAAGGTCTTTAATGCCCTAGAGATGGCCATCTCCCAATAGCAACCAAAACGTAATTACATACCAAGTCCCCAACAGTATGTACAAAAGAGTCATATATGGGCCAAAATATTATGCCCTTTGGCACTTTATTTCCCCTTTCAACTAACAAAATTATAGTCTCAAGGTCACCATAAACTTCTCCTTTCCAACATCATGGGTGAATATTCTTTTCACCATTTTCAAGGTCCTCACCAAAGTCCCAAACTGAGTTCAATTCTTGAGATCTCAAAGATAGTGTCTTCATTAGCTTCGTTGGCATGGTGTATAGTTGGTTCACAATTGGTTGCGGAAGGCTACGTCCCTTGTGGAGGCTCTTATTTTTCAAATTATCCTCATCATCATCATCATCACCGCGATTTGCTTGCATTTCCACTGCTCTTTTAACCAAAGTAACGTCTGAGCCTTCTTCTTTGGTGGATTTCTTGGACTTGTTCTTGTAAATTGCATATATTATTAACTGAGAAGAGCCCAAAACAAAGCCTATTGCATTTGGTATCTGCACTTGCACGACATAAACTTACTGTGATGTGTGAGACAAAAGCCCCCCCACCCCCTTTTTTATTTTTTATAATATGCAATGTAATGTTACCTTACTCACTTGTTTAAAGTCTGTTTGAAATGTATACTCAAACTATGATTCTTGATTCTAATATTTAAATTTTAAATTTTTTTTTATAAACAAAAAATACTGTAATAAATTTAACTATTTAAATTAACATAAATGTAGAGGAGGAAAACTTACACCAACAAAGAAATCTTTGACCAGCGCAGCATATATGGACCAAATCCCGCCATTTAGGAAAAGGAAAAATGAAAATAAAAATGGCATGTACTCCACGCTCTTCATCTTAATCACCATTCCCTGCCGCAAATAGAACCAACAAACCAATCCCACTTGTGAACAAATAAACGTAACAACGCTCTTCATTTTTGTGGGCCTTCTTCCAACTTTTGAATATGCAGTCCCAATGTATAATAGAAATTTTTTTTGGAAAGGTAAAAAGAATACTCTATCGGTACTATTTTGTTCAATTAAACTTTTACATTTTTATTAATTTTTATAAAATTTGCATACTTTTCTTTTTTTTAATTTTAATATGATTCTAATGTGATTTGATAATAAAAATGTTACAAATACTTTACATCCCGACAATGTTAGTTGGGAGGTGCGATAAAACTATGAATTACAGGATGAGAAGTTTAGGAGTACTCTAAAAAAATACGATATTAGCATAGAGTGGAAGTGTACTATGTTTTTTTATTTATTTAAAATATGGTGTAATATGTAACTTTTAGGTGCTTAAAGTTGGTGAACTTACCATGGCTGATAAAGGTGACGCATACATTCCTATGGTTAAAGCAGCACATAAAATTCCAACAAAAGTAAGCTTTATTTCTTCACGGACGGCAAGCAGAGTCAATGCAATTATTGAACCAGGAAAACCAACATTAAGCATCGCAATCAACTTCGCTGTCTGTACCTGCAACAATATTTTGTCGGCAAGCCATGCTAAATTTTCCATATTTCCATTCCCAAAATTGATAAAATGACAAAAAAATAAAAATAAAAATAAATAATAGTTACAAAAATGTAAAAAACAACTACAAAAACGTTTATGTTTTAAAAATAAATTTTAAGTCCATACCTAACACATTTTCTGAGGCAACAAAAAGTACCCTTAAAACAAATTAAAAACATTTTAAACATTTAAAAAGTATCAGAATCATCAATCAAGCTATGATTTTTTTAAGGTTAAAAATCCGCTGCCTATGATAGAAAACATAAAATTTTCTTCGTCTCTTTACTTTGTTTTTTAGTCCAAACACACAAAAAAAATGAAATTGGAACATATTCTTTAAATTTGAAGGACACTTTTTTAATTTTTAAAACATATGGATAAATTGAAAAAAAGTTGAAACTTGGAGGTATATTTATGTAATTAACTCTACCAAATGAGTGTGAAAAATTTCCCTACCGATTAGGCTTTGTTTTGAGCTATAAATCTAATATACCATTTTATTTTGATGCCTTTTATTTAATGTTCACAAACATACTGTAAAAAGCTCCAAAAATAAACTCTGAGTTATGCTTTTACGTTTAGTCTAAGACCTCGTTCATTTCGTGGATTTGAGTTTTTAATTCGAGCTGAGATGTGACATTTTCTGAGAGCTTTTCACTGTAGCAGAAAAAGTTAGATGTGCCATTTTCTAAGAGCTTTATACTTTAGAAATCTAAAATTGAAAACTCGAATCGGTGAAATGAATGAAGTTTAAGTCAAAACAAATGAGATTCTTAGCTAGTTTTAACCACATGATTAAAATGTTTGGGCAAAAGTGAAATTCACCAAACATGGAAAACATTTATAACTAGCATGTAGATTAGAGATTGTGAATTTACCTTCTTGTCCCTAGGTGCATAGATGAGAAAAAAAGTGACGTAGATGAGTTGCAAGAAGGCACCAGCGCCATTGACGGTCAAGATTAGTAAGCCTTGAGGATTAAGAAGTCCATAGAATGTCCACAAACTTGTGCTCAAAAGTGTAGTTATGTAAGGAATCCCTTGGTAGTTCTCTGTTGATTTCTTCTTCACCACAACCCAAAAAGTTTTTCTACAAACAAAAGAGATTTATTTTATATGGAAATTGTATAGTGAAAGAAAAAAATATTTGAGATTTGACACTAGAATCCATAGAGTTGGAAAACGCCGTAGTTGGAGATCAAGGATAAAATTAATTTTCTTTTCCTTTCTTCTTTATACAAGGAAAATATTAATAAAAGTGAGTAAACACACTTTTAAATTGTAACTGAATCTTTAGACGCTCTTATTTTGTAACCCCTCAAAAAGAATACAAAACTTAAATTGTGTTACTTTCTTTAAGTGTAGGCACATAAATTATAACCCCTCAAAAAGAACACAAAACTTTAATTGGGTTGCTTTTCTTGAAGTGTAAGCAGCACATTAATGGTGCTGGTTAACCATCAAGAACACAATTTTATCCATATCAAAAGGATTAAAAAATGGTTGTGAAAGCCTTGCAAAAAACAAAAAACAAAAAAAAAAAGCAAAAAACAAAATCATAACTACTCAATTCATTTTTTTTTTTTTTCATTAGTTCCATGTTTATCACAAAGAAAAAAATTTAGAAGGAAAAAAAGTAAAAATAGATGGTTTACTTACATGGGAGAAGTAAAAACCAGTATAGAAATTATATTGCCTGCAAATGAAGTATAAATTTTATCTTAAAAGGAAGAAAAAGAAAAAACAATTGACAACCCAAGAATCTAAAATTGAAGGGGGGGAAAAAACCCAAAAAATTAAGAGTAGTGAAAGTAGAAACTGACCAATAATGCCGATGATCAAGCTCAAACTAGCAGCCATTGTATAGGAAGAGAGAGTAGAAAAGAAATTAACTATTGTGTGATTATATCCAAATAAATGAAGAAGGTAGTGATGTATATGTGTATATATAGATGGTGATTGGGATGTTCACGTGATAAGCACATCAATGACGTGTGTTATGTGTGTGTGGTTGATATATTGGAATTACAAAATCTGCTCTAACTTATGGATCCTCTCTATGGATTTTATTCTACCTATGACACGTTTTTCACTGTAAATTGCTGTTGGACTTGTGTTGATAGTGGCTTTTGGCCCACCTTTTCTTTTGTTCGCCCATTCTAATTTTCTTTTTCATAGGCTTTGTGATATTTTCCATCGGTAGTCATTTCTAGTCTGTTTCTTATTTGAAGGGAATGCCGCGGATTATATTGTTAGGCAGTGTTTGATAGGGAGGGAAAGAAATACGAAGGAGAAAAATGTTACACAATTTTGGTGAGAAACGTGAAGATAATATATATATACCCATATATTTGTTGTGTTTGATATGGATTCCCTTATATAATCTCTGCATATTATAAGAGAATTATAACGGGATACATTAAGGGATTTGAAATCTCTCCTCTAATCTAGTCCTTCCTCATTTCTCTACTAACCAAACAATTAAAAGAATGAAAAAATTACTGAATTTACCCTTAAAAGGGTATATGGTCTGGATTTTTATCTTTTACTTTTGATTAATATATTTTTATTAACATAATTATTTGACTAAAAGAGGTATTAATCAATAATAAGGGATATAAATCCAGACTCATGCACATTTAAAAGGTATTTATCTCATTTTTTCAACAATTATAGATCACAAAGTCCTTCCATTCATCTCCTTATCTTTTTTCTTTCTCCTATTTTTTCGTCCTACCAAATAAGCTCTTATAAGGTCCATACTAAGGGATAGCAACATGATGGATTTAGGGCGAGGGGTCTTCTCACCAACCCACTCCGTGAATAAAAACACTAACCATACACGTCTCATGAACCCGCATAAATTAACAAATTACGGGACAGATTTCTCCCATCACGGGTTCGGAGTATTCACGGTGCCTCATTTACTCGATTAATTATTTTCATTGTAAAATAAATAAAAAATAAATAATTAAACAATTAAACAATCCAAACACACAACACATTAAGTTAAAAGATAAAAGATGGATAGTTTTAAGTTTTCATATATATTATATATATTATGTAATAGATATAATTATATATATTAAGTTAGAGATATGTATTAAAGTTTTCATATATTATATATATTATTGCATATTATACATAATATATCTACTTTAAAATTAAGATATAATTAAATGAGGGTAAATGGGAAATGTAGTGAGGACTTCTAAATCTGTCTCCATCCCGCAACTCATGACGGGTTAAAATTTTAATCCGTTTATAATTCATATTCATTTAAAACGAATTTTTCTCGTCCCATTTTATACGAGTCCCCGTGAATAAATGAATTAATGGATAAAATTGTCATTCTTCACTCTATACGAAAAGGGTTAGTTAGATATCAATTCATGTTTATTCATATGGCCTAGTATTAGAATTTATGACGCTAGATTAGTTGGGAATTTCGTAGTACAACTTTGATAAAAGTTACCTTATTTACAATAAATAGATGAATAGATAAAATCCCTAAACAAATGATCCATCATAGTCTTAATTTTAAAATTTTAATCTGTTTATAATTTATATTCATTTAAAACGAATTTTTCTCGTCCCATTTTATACGAGTCCCCATGAATAAATGAATTAACGGATAAAATTGTCATTCTTCACTCTATACGAAAAGGGTTAGTTAGATATCAATTCATGTTTATTCATGTGGCCTAGTATTAGAATTTATGACGCTAGATTAGTTGGGAATTTCGTAGTACAACTTTGATAAAAGTTACCTTATTTACAATAAATAGATGAATAGATAAAATCCCTAAACAAATGATCCATCATAGTCTTAATTTTAGGATGTTTAAGTCGCACTGTTTTTAGTAGTGAATATTATCTTGTAAGTTTGGTCGGTGTTAGTGGATGGCCAAGTTACAACTCTGTTCACCTGAAGTTCTACGAGTCGTTGACTGTTTGCTTTCTTTGAAACAAAGAAAGTATTAAGAATAGACTCGGTGATATTTACACCATATCTGTAAAATAATTGTACATATGGGATTTTTTTTTCTTGGATAAAAGGGATAGCTTTGTCTACTTAAGTATTAATCAGACAAAAGCTTTCCCTTTTAATTTATCCAAAAAGAAATTCAAGCAAAAAAAAAATTATCCAAAAATAAAAAAAAAATCTTTCCCATATTAGCTCTGTCTACTTAATTATTCATCTTCAAGAAAAAAAAGTATTTATCCTTTTTATGATGAATTGACGGGTGGCAATTGTGTGGGACCAACCTTGAATATTATCGCTACTCTTTTTTTTTTTTTTTTTTATGTTTTATTTCCAATGAGTTTGGTTTCCAGAATGAACAAAATTAGTTAGGTAAGAAATATGAAAGTAAATTATGCAATAATTCTCTTTCAGTTTAGCAAGAGGGAGGAGAAAGAAAAAGTATTCCAACCTTTTTTTTGTTTTGTTTTGGGCCGAGAAAGAAAATCATTGAACAGAAACGACATGAAACAAATAAGAAAGCAAACTGAACCTAATCACATTGACACAAAACGGAAACAGCCAAAATGAAACCAAAAGTTGATGGAACTAACCGTTTTTGTGGTTGCAATTGACTTTGTTCGGTAAAAAAAAATACAAAATGGCCAATGTGAACTAAACACGCTTCACATTGATCTTATCCTCTTTTTTAATTTCATTGCATCCAGTATCCTGTGCATATGCAACACAAAATCAAAATCAAACTTGTGTTTATGGAAACATCCACCACCTCAACCAACTCGGAATGCTTGTCAACTATTACATATTAAATTTCACGATATGCAACTGAATGATAATATTATTTGCAAATTTAGGTGAAGACAGTTGAGGGAGAAAACAAGATATATTGAAATTGGATATGCTATTTAAAACTTACCTAAAGATAAGTTCATTCCTATCAAATATAGGCTTGATGACGGTTGATACGTGGAGAATGGATTGAATAGTTATACCATTCTCAAATGATTTAAGAATAAAAATGTAAAAACGGGTAGACACAGACCAGGCACGATACAGTTAGCCTATCCTATTTATTAAATGAGTTGAGCTTTATGATTTCTTGGTACGAAGGCGTTAAATACATAGAATGTTAAGGCCTGCACACGAGCATGAGTACAACCACATTAAAAGCAAGATAGGCAGTCCAATTACAAGCACTATCGGAGCTATCTTAGGCTGAGTGGAGGGAGCCGCCCCCACTTGCTCAAAGTGGCCCGTTTAGTATTGCCCCAACTAAATTTTTTATTTTTTTATTTTTTCCTTTTAAATTTTTCCGTTTATGATATTTATACAAAATGTTCAAAAACATTGCTATTTATACCTCAAAGTTAAATTTTGAGTACCTTATATTTTAAACTTAAATTGCTCAATAAATCGATAATCAATGACACAATAATATAATTTCACAATTGTGTATTGTACCGTGAAAAGTGAATTAAACATAATTAGAAGGTTGATTTATTTGGATTAAAAATATAAATATAGTAAATAAATAATAATTGTCTTATTAGTTTAGTATAAAATTTTGGTTGTACTGCCGCCCCCACTAAAAAAAGTTACCGACTTTGCCACTAATTACAAGCACAATTCGAGCATGAATTATAAAACTAAATGTGAGCTTACTCTTTATTTATAAGACTCATAATTATACTTTTTATTTTTATTAAGATTTTATCTCGATGGGTTTGTTTGTAATGTTTTTAAGGAGGTAATTTTTATTAATTATGTACCTTTTTTGGGTTAAACATTTAGTGTTTTCATTTTTTCTGATGTTTATTTTCTTATTTTTATAATAAATTTACTAGTTAGCATGGAAAAAGCACACTAAAAGCCTGAACATGGTCCAAACACGTTAAGAGTATGACCCATAAACAATTGGTATGAGCTAGGCTTGACACATTTAAATGAACTGGCTGACCGAATCTGACCCATTTGACATCTCTAGTTAAGAATAAGTGAAAACGTATCATTATTGTCATTTAAAAATTCATACCTAACTTAGTAGAATGCGTGTTAATACGAAACATAAAAAAAAATTGTGCTCACATGTTTTTGACTTAAGAGTGTGTTCGGTTAGAGGAAGAGGAGGTATAAGAGGGTTATAGAGAGAGGAGACCAATCTATATATTGATTAGAGGGAGAAGAGGAGGAGGGGAGAAGTGGAGAGGAAAATTTTCTCTTTAGGCCCATCAAATTCAATATGACTATTAGTGAAAGATTCAAGAAATCTATCGCGTTAAAATTTAAAGACTATTTTAGCCTCCAAAATATTATTAACAATTAGTAAAGCAAATAACTATCATACATATGTTACATTTTCCCCATTCCACTAACCAACATATAAGATTATTATAATTCTCCTTATCTTTCACATTGTCTACCCTTCTAACCTTATGCATATTTCCTACTCTTCATCCACAAAAATCCACAAAAAGATCCCAAGGGCCCGAAAAAAAAAAACTTGAGGGGTTTTGACTTTTATTAATCAAGGAACAAAGTCGTCAAAAGAGGAGTTAGCAGAAGTACCAACAGAGCGAGTTTTTTCAAAGTTTGAGGACTCCAAAATCAAGATTTTAAATTTGAAGTCCTTAAGTGCAAGAGCTTAAAATTTTGGGGATGTGGAGAATAAATATCTAAGAAGTTAAAATGAAGGCCCATAATCTCAAAGCCCATAAACTTCCTAGCGTAGCCCAATAAAAGTAAGTCCCAACAAGTGGCTTAACGCCGACGCGGGCTGCAGTGCGCGTGCGCGGTTGAAGTTGCCGGTGGCTTAAGATCGATCCATTCCTAAAAGGCTAAAACCTCCAGACGACAAATATCTACAAGTTTTCTTCGTTCTTCATTAAAGATCTTCACTTGGTCTCTCCTTCAATACCCACAATGTTCAAAAAGTAAGTTTCTTTTATTTTCTTTTTCTTTTTCCTCTCTACAAGTACAAATATGAGTGTTGCTTCCGAATATGCACGTGTATGCAATTATTTTTTTGTTTTATTTTTTTGATGGAATTTCTTTGTTTTATTGGTGATTGCAGAAAACGATTTCTGGGTTTTGATTTAATTTTGATTTTGGGATGTGGGTTTAATTTTTTGCTTTTACAATTTCTGCTCTGCATTTGTTAGCTGTTAATATTAGGTTGTTTTGTTTGTCGAATTTTATTTATTAATTTAGGATGCTTCGTCATGCTTTGATTGTGATTTTATACAATTTTTTTGAAAGTATGCAATACTAACTAAAATGTTGCCATTATTAAATTTGTGGCTTCAATGTTTATTTTAGAGACTGGGGTAACAAGTGAAATTTCCAAACATTCCTGAAAGTTCCATTAGCCATTTTTAACAGCATTAGTTTTAAGTTTGAGATATGAGAAGAGTCATTGTTTTTTTCACTTTAAAGTTAAAGAATGCTTTTGTTGGTGTAAAGCCTTAAAAGGCGCTTTTAAAATATTGTACAAAAAGTCTCATTTGAGTTTAGTTGTGCAATAGTATTGCATTGAGGAAATTGTCCTTTGGATGGTTGAGGTATGCTTTACTTGTCTTCTTTTCTTTCATGTTGTAGGTTTTCCGCGGAAGATGTTTCCGCACAAAACCAGGTCAAGGCATCTGTACAACGCAAAATTCGGCAAAGTATTGCTGAGGAGGTAAGGAGTTACCATGGCTTTTTACTCAAGATTGAGCAACTATTTCCTCATTTTCTTGAAATGCGTCTTTAACACTACAATAACTTCAATTTCAGTACCCTGGACTTGAGCCAGTGTTGGATGATTTGCTTCCGAAAAAGTCTCCCCTGATTGTTACTAAATGGTTTGTCACTCCGTTGCTTCTGCTCGTGCTATAAACTTGTAGCTTGATCCAAAATTTTAAATTATGAGTTTATAACTATGTTACCTATTTTACCAAGGAGTCTTTTTTCTTATTATTGCAGTCAAAACCATCTAAATCTGGTTGTGGTTAACAATGTGCCACTGTTCTTTAACATTCGTGATGGACCTTATATGCCTACCCTAAGACTACTTCATCAATGTGAGTGTTCTATCTTTCTAGGCCAACAATATCCATTTCGCCTCTATTATTAGAGTTCTCTTTGTTACCTAAATTGTCGATTTTGTAGTTTTCTTTTATTTTTCTTTAACTGGATGCTTCTTTTTTGGGATGAATCTAATCCATTTCCGATACGTTGAGGATTTTAATGGTGGAAGTTACATGCAATTCTTCTAATTTCTATAGATATATGAGTCAAATCTTAACAAATTGGTACATAGGGAACAATATGTAGTTATCTGAATGATAATTCCAAAAATCACTTTATTCTTTCTTCATATATTTAGCATTGAATAGATATATGAGTCAAATCTTAACAAATTGGTACATAGAGAACAATATTTATTTTTCTCAATGATACTTCCAAAAACCACTTTATGAAAGTGCCATTCTGAGTGGCTTCATAATCATAATCTGATTTTGGCTAGTCTTTGGGTACTTTCTATTGAGTTTTATGTGAGGCAAGTAATGGCAGTTCTAACTGACATTGACAAGATGGCAGAAGCCAAAAGGATAGCTTTGACAATGAGGGGCATCAACCATTATCAAAGAGTTTGATCACAACTTTATCAACCATTGTCGAACAGTTTGATCACAACTTTATCCCAAGTTGAAAACGCACATGGGAAAATTTTGTTTGCCTCAAATTGGTCTGTGAAATTTTACTAAATTACATCATTCTATAGAGAGAACTATTACTATTGGAGTTCTTAAGGTATAAACAATATAGATTCCTTTGATCTTTTAAATAATTTGAGTTAGAGGCTGATTTAATTGTTTAGTCTGGTATTTTAGTTGGTTGTTGGATGTATTTGTAGCTTAAGAAAATTACTCTCTTAGCTATTCTATTACTTAATCTCCTATAAATCATACTTCTATGGAGATTTATAGGAGGCTTTGAAAGTAAACAGGGGTAGAGTCAGGTTTTCCAACTTTACCCCTTTAAACTTGACCTCCTGACTTGGTGCATTGCATTTACTTCTGCTTCTCAAGGATTTGGAGAAAATCATGTCTTTTGAGAGGTTTATTGACCTACTATTTCGAGAACATTTCGAGATATGCAAATTTCGAGGTCATTTTGTAACCAGAGTGGAGAGTTTGTCTTGGAGATATAACTAATTACTCGGGGAGATTGATTTGTTATGATCATATTGTTGTTTTTTTTATTTATTTGTTCTTTATATAAATTCATCTCGATATTTAAACTTCATAATAGTCAGGTGTTCCTACCATTTGTTTTGCAGATCCAAATATAATGAAGAAGTTACAAGTTGATAGGGGTGCAATAAAATTTGTCCTTGCTGGCGCAAACATTATGTGTCCTGGCCTTACGTCTCCTGGCGGTGTTTTGGATGATGAAGTTGGTGCAGAAACTCCTGTGGTATGAATTTTACATACGGCTCACTAGTTTAAGAAGATCATGTTCAATTTTTTCTGATTTCTGGAATGTATACTCTCAGGCCATAATGGCTGAAGGAAAGCAGCATGCTCTTGCAATTGGCTTTACTAAAATGTCAGCAAAAGATATGTAAGTCATATTTCTTACTTGTATTTCCAACAAACTTGTGTGTGATAAAAGCATAATTGATCAATCCGTGACTGATTGAAGAACTGTACGTACATAAAATTTTATCTGCATATTTTTGAATTTCGAACAAAAAATTTACAGTATTACCACATGCTACTGCAGAAACTTCATACGTGCCACAGATTTACATTATAAATGTCAGTTTCTCAATCAATCAGCGTCCGAAAACTTTGAAGAACTGCACGTACAAATAGTTTATCTGAATATTCTTCATTTTAGAGAAAAATTCTACATCATTACCACATTCTTCTACGAAAACTTCATACGTGCAACAAATTTCTTGTGAAATATTATTGGTGTCATTACAATCATTACAGTGTCGTTACAACCGTATCATTACATTATTATGGTTGTTAATTTCTACTATGGCTTTAAGTGGTATGGGTTGAAACTCTCATGTTTGTAATAAAGTTGAAGCCCGCTTCAGCTGCATTCAGTTTTCTTTCCATGCTTGCTATTATCAATCTGGTCGATTGACTTTGGTGAATGGTCTATATATTCAGAGGCAAACCCATAGGGGATGTTTTATTACTGTGCTTTTTCTACGATTCTATCCATATTTTAAAGGAGTTCTTTGTATTACGGTTGCTTGTCATAAGGTTTTCCCATTGCAGATTGGCATGTCTAACATGTTGCGCCGTTTTCTTCTTCTTATTTCATATGCAGAAGGGTAATCAACAAGGGAATTGGGGTGGACAATATGCATTATCTTAATGATGGTCTCTGGAAGGTATGTGATGCTTAAACCTCTGTGGATTACAAAAATCAGATACATTGTTTAGCAATTAGAATTCTGGACTTCCAAATGTTCATGACCGACTTATTACGCCAATTACTGCTTCTTTTTTTTTTTTTTTTCTCCTTCTCCTTCCACACATAACAAATATTTGCTCAAGACATCCTATTACACTAGTTAAAGTATCAATTCTTCTATGTATCGAGCAGATGGAGCGCTTAGATTGAGGATTTTGAAAGGCTAATTGTGTGACATCTTCCACATTATTAAAGGAAAACAACTTGTCATGAAGCTATATTTGGCAGCGGAATCCCTGTGTTTTGGGCAATTGCAAGATCATGAAAGCTAAAGGACCTATTTGTCCTCTATGTACTGAAGGGGAATAGTTTTATCATACATGCACATCAATCCTTTGATGAGTTTCCCTTATGAGTTGATAAATTTGATTTTGGTATAATGGCTTGCATTTCATAAGTATTACCGCGTTTTCTTGAAAAAAAATGTACTTGTGAATCTGAACCTCCTCAAACATCAGTTTCGCTTCTCTTGGCCTCGTGGATTTTCACTCTTGCTCAAATAGAGTATTGGGCAAACAGAATGGTGGCAATTGATGGATTCTTGGAGCATGACATACACATGTACAACTCCATGTCCTGATTTTTTTTTTTTTTTGGATCTTGGGGACGTGGGAATTTGAACGTTTTACCCCCTTTAATTGGATTGGGGATGAAGTGGAATCATGTGTGAAAGTATTGTTAAGTTATACTAAAACGTTTGGTAAGGGGATTCATACCATAATTTGAATCATGGTTCATAGTTTGTTACAGTATTTTCTCTCACAAAAAATACTCGTAAATCGAAAATGATTTTAATCTCATGATTTTATTCCATGAACTAAACGTTTCTACATTTTAACTAGGTGATGTCAGGTATTGCGAGGATAATGTTTAATTTGAGTTTCTCCCCCTCTCTCTCTTTTTTTCCTTTTGCCAAAAATGAAATACCTAGATAGATTCTCGGTCCAAAAAATAAGTTCATCATCTATTTTAAAAGCGTACTTTACAAGATTATATGCACGCAATAGTGTTTGCGAAAGTTCTAACATAAGAAAATGTTGTATACCTTGAACAAAAAAATGACAAAAGTACAGCGTCTCCCTACGGTATACTAGATATCTAATTCACGTCTGGTGAAAACATTAGTATTACTATTTTGAGCAATTGAAAGAGCATCCGTGTCTATTGTATATGATTGTCAATGATCGAAAACACTAGGAGGTTTCTAACACAATTTGTGATTATAAGAAATATGTTCAATATTCTTGAAGATACGACGTTAAATACAATGTATCGATAAAATCACGAAGATTAAAAAGAATTAAGATATTGAACAACAATTACACCTTGGCTTCTAATTGATCTTCTTATTTGAAGAATTGAAGCCACCTCTATCAATGTAATTACCCTCATTTATTTATCTTCTTTTTTAAGGAGTCTTTTTTCCCCCAAAACAGATTTGCGCTATCTCATCTAATATTTTATTTCTTTTTAGAGATGGCAATGGAATGAATTCTCGTCTCCATTCCCGCCACTCAAAATGATTCCCAACCCTATTTATGGAGAAGCGGCCAGGGTAAGAGATTTCCCGTTGGGATGGCATTCTTTATACCCACACCATGCTCTATTTAATATAACTATGCATTTTCAAAATTATAACAATTTAAACTAAAATTAAATATAAATTTAAACCAAAATCAAATTAAGTTCTATAAAACAAACTAAATTCTAATCACATACAAAACCAACTTAGTAGTAATACTTAAGCCACAAAAGGACTAATTATGTTTAAAAATTTGTCATTTATAATACTTATTTACATAAAAAAAATGACATATGTATGTGGGGTAGAGTCGGGTAATGCTTCCCCGTCCCTACACTGCGACAACTCGGGAACAAAATTTTCCCAAATGTGTGTCCCATCCCCACTCCGTTCGAGGTAGATCCCAATCCTTGTGGGATTACTCCTATCTCTAATTCCTCTATCCTCCACAAATTAAAGAAGTAATTACATAAAAACTATGTAGGGCATTATCTAAAAATGTTTTCTATTATACAATATTACAAAAATGTCAACTTGTGTTTAATAAGGCATATATTATACTAGATTTGCCCTCGTAATTTATTTTGGGCATGTTCTCTATATGGGGTTTTTTTTAGGAATAAAATCATTTTAGTACCTTGTATTATAGCAAAACATCTTAATAAGGCATGTTCTTGGTATCTTGTGCTTTTAATAATATTAAAACGTTACCTCGATATTTTTCAAAAACATCTTCTTAGTATCCTAAAACTGATTTTTGGGACATGTAATGTCCAAATTACCATTCTTATTAATTAAATAAAAATCAATATTTTTTTAAAAAAATATGAAAACATTTTAAAATAGTAAAATATTTAAAAGAAAACAACAAAATAAAAAAGTGCATTTCTTTTTTTAGATTTATTAGTTTTTGGTTAATTAAATAGAAAAATAGTAAAGTCATTTTACGTCTCAGGAATCAACTTCAAGGTATTAAGAAGATATTTTTGAAAACATTGATGTATTGATATAATATTATAAAAAACACAAGGTACCAAGAACATGTTTCGCAATAACATGATACCAAAATGATTTTCCTTTTTTTTATTTGGTGGGATTATTTTTCCAAATAATATTAAGGTATTTTTTCTGATTATATGTAGAATTTTACTTTCCATTTCGGTGTCATTATATATTTTTTTATCAATACATTAATTTATTCTTGATGTGATTTTTAAAATTAAGAGTTTCCCTCTTTCTTTCCTTTAAAAAAAAAAAAAAAAAAAAAAAACTTCATGTACATTTATATGTTTTTTTTTTTTTTAAAAAAAAAAACTTCGTGTACATTAATACCTTAATTTATTCACTATCGTTTTGTGATCAATATGGTTTTGTAAACTGTTTTATTCATTTTGGTTCATAATGATATTATCATTACAACAGTGAAACTGAGTATTTTATTTTATGAGTTCATGTGTTGGGCATTTGTGTTGTTTGATATTCCTTCAAACTATTAAGGTAGCTCTGATAAAATAATGAAAATCTTATGATTGCGTTCATTTTTGTGTTTCTTTTATAGTTCGAGTTATTTTTGATAATGATATTATCAGTAAATTAATGCAAATGAGCATTATTTGTACATTAATGTGTTTTTTCAGTATTTTACTTTTGATGATCATTTTCATAATAACGATTAATTGTCAGGTTTTGTTAAAATATTTTTGTTTGTTGGTATCATGAATTTATTAAGCGGGGAGTACTCTAAATGAATTTGTCAACTAGCATACCTACACTCTTAATGTATTTATTCTTGTTCGTAATGATATTATGCATTACGATAATTAACTTTTTTCACATTCTCATGTTTATTCTGTATGTTAATTTTAATATTCATTTTCATAGATACTTTCACTTGACAACTTGTGTATTTTGGTGCTATTGAGGCAAATAATGAATTTCTTAAACTAGCAAACCTGTACTCTTAATGAATTTATTCTTGTTCACAATGATATTATCATTACGATAATGATCTTTTTTTTACATTCTCATGTTTACTCTGTATATTAATTTTAATATTCTTTTGCATAATTATTATCACTTTTACAGCTTTTGTATTTTCGACCTATGGAGGCAAATGTTCGTAAAAGGCTTTTCTGGTTATCTGTTAGGTCTTTCAATTCTTTGATCACATCAATTCTTGAGTAGTTGTTTATCTTGTATGCTTTTAGTCGAGTTTCATTGAGCGAAGGCGCCTGCATATGTTACACTTGATGGAATTATTTAGAATGTGATTAAGAGTATTTATTATAATGAGAACGCATATATAATAATGAAAGCACATCTAAAATGAAAATAAACATAACCTATTTCTTAAAGGAGGCTGAATTTAGGGTTTTTGGACTGAAATCAGAGCAAAAGGGTCCTTCAAATTCTGGAATAAAAAATGAGTATAGTGAAAACCAGTTTTGTGGATGGTTTTATTTATTTATTTTTTAATAAAACTTTCCCTTCTGAATAAAGTATGTTTCATTAAATGTAATATTCAGATTTCATTTTAAGATTTTATTTTGAAATCTCATTATTTTCACCCTTTTTCATTATATAGGGATAAAAATGTCTTTTTTATATAGTGGTAGAAGTTTTGTAAATGAATAGAATAGTAGATATATATATATATATTTTTTTTGCTTAGAATGTTCTAAGTGGCATTTATGTAGATAACTCTAAATTAAATTATTTTCAAAAATTTTAAAGGGTGAATGATTTTTTTTTTTTACTAAAAAATGAAAAAAGAGGAGTGAATGAATGCATATCACTTATTAGTTATCAGTTCAGTTTTATTTTTGAAATAAATATCTTCAGAATCCTTTTCCGTTTTGACAATGGATTTTAATTACAATTCCGTCTCCTCTCTTTTGTTTATTTAAATTAAATTATTGCGTAAGAGTTTGACGTGAGGCTCTCAACTATTTGAACCAGCCCTTGCACTCCGACTACTTCTCGTACGTTAAGGTAAAAGCTTTCCTTTCTAATCGATCTTATTTCCAGCCCTTTCTCTTCCCACATAGTTTTTCCTTATGATCTTCTCAAGTCTCCTTTTTTTTTTTCTCCTCACAAAAAACCATAAAAAAATGGTCGGTAACTTCATGGTTAGGGTTAGATTCAGTTTGGTAACATATTAGGTTAGCACAATTCAACTAGTTTTTTTTTTTTTTTTTTTTTTTTTTTTTTTTATTAAATTCTTCCTTCTGAAAATAAGTCCTCCGATTCCCAAGCTAACTTCTATTTTTATAGTTCACAATTCACAAACTATTCGCATATATTGTTACAAATTTCGTATTTAACACTCTGGCTTTTATTTTTTCTTTCCTTTTTTCTGTTTGGGAGTAGTAATGGCGTTGTTATATGGTTTGACCGAAGACGTGACGATGGAAATTTTGTCATGGCTACCTCCAAAGTCATTGATCCAATGCAAGTGCGTAAGCAAGTCCTGGAACTCCTTCATCGGTTCATTAATGGAAAACCCTTACTTTGTTAACAAACACCTCAACCATATGCCCTACACCCTAGTTTTTCGTCGGAGCCGCCTCTTTCACGCCTACCGTCGGTTCAATCACGACAATCCATTATCACTGCTCACTATATTCCATGCTGGAGCTGATCATAGCGACCGCATTGCTTTCATCAATGAAATTATCGACATTCCGCGTTTTGAAGGTCGAAAGGAGATGGGTTCTGTTTGGCTTAGCTATCATTGTAATGGAATCTCTTGCATGGTGAATAGCTCCAAAACTGTAATCTTGTGCAACCTGGAATTGCGCGAGTTCAAGGTTGTTCCGGAGACGACATATGATCTTTGTCAGGCGCTTATTGGAAACAAAAAGTTCAACGGTCTAAAACGAATGGGATTTGGCTACGATATCAGAGCTGATGTCTACAAGATTGTTATAATATTCTCCTGGTATAACAATACTAACAAGGGATATACCATATGTGCCGAGGTATATGACCTAACTACTAATTCGTGGAAGGATATCAAGTTTATGGAAGGCGAGGCCTTTGACATTAATTATGGTTGGGGAGCTGAGAATAAGGGTGTATATTGCAAAGGGTTTTATTATTGGTTGGTGGACAGCAATTTCGGGCGAAGGATCCTTTCTTTTGATATGTGCAATGAGGTGTTTCGAATCTTGCCATCGTTGCCAAATACTCGTTATAAGAACGTGGAAATCGCGGTGTGGAATGACTCCCTTGCTTTGTTTATTTGGTGCAATAATTTGAGAAAATGGAGTAAAGATCCAATGTCGATTGAGATTTGGGTGATGGAGGAGCAAAGCGGCGAGTGGTGCAATGTTTTTAGTATTGGACCCTTTGAGGACATGTGGGCTCCGTTGACATTTTGGAAGAGAGATGAGCTTCTTATGGTGACTAAAGACGGAGAGATAGTCTCGTATAACCTTGGAAGTAAAAAGTTAAGGAAACTCGACATTCATCCGGACGATCGGATGCATTGTTGGGGCTTTTATGTGAAGAGTCTTGTTTCTGTGAATCAGAGAAGAAGTTAGGTTCGGAAGAGGAAGAATATTAGAGAGTGGTAATTTTACCAACATATCACTAAAAGGTTTTTGAGATCTTGAACATAAGAGAATTCTTGGCCCCTCCTTATAAGCATTATCGGAAACAAATTTCGATTCTCTTTCTCAATGTTGTTTGCTTTTTTACTTTTTTACTTTTTTTGTTTTTTTTTTGTTTTAATCACGCAAGCATAAATATTGATCATCTACACATCCAAAAATTTTTTTTACTATGCATCATATGTTCACTATTCGGCCGAGGTGGATTCTTAAAATGGTTTTTTAGTAAGATTCTTGAAATGATTTATATGAAATTATCAATGATGGATGATTATATTCATCTACTCATCTACACAAGCAAGTTTACTATGATTCATGTAATTTCACTAAGTTATCCTTCCACTGGAAAACTAAGAGCAAATCTGCTGTCTCATTGGCTGTACTTTGACACCCAAAATGGAGAGGAAGAGAAAAAATTGGTTTTTTTTTTTTTGGGGGAAAATGTACTAAATAGCATACTTTAGAGGTGCTTTTAAAGTAGTGAGTATATTTTTTAAAACTTGATCAATTTTAGCATAATTAACCTTTCACTCTAAAAAATAATATTGTTTTCCAAATATACCCATCCTCCTAGGGTTTTATTTTGCCTCCATTCATTTTCATCAGATTCTCTCTCTTTCCAAACTGTTCCTGTAACGCCCTCCAGAATTAAACATGTTTAATTATGCTAAATTATGAATTATTAGTGTGCCTAATTTAATTTTCACAATTAATCAATGGGCTTTAAATTATTTTCAATATTTATAATTTGACCTCAAAAGTTTTTGAAAATACATTTAAATTTTAATGCATTTTCCTTTTTTCCATTTCTCTTTTTTCTTTTCTTTTCTTTTCCTTTTTCTTTTTTCTTTTCTTTTTTTTTTCCTTTTCCCCTTTCCCTTCCCGTGCAGCCCAGCCTCCCTCTCCTTCTTTTTCTTTTTTTTCTTCTTTCTTCCTCTGGTTCACCAACCAGCGCCCACCTCTCTCTCTCTCTCTCTTCCTTCCACTGTCGGCCACCACCTCCGGTCTCTCTCTCCCACCGGCGTTCTCTCTCTCTCAGTGGCTCTCTCTCTTTCTCTCTCTCGGCAGTTTGGCCGAGAACCACAAAAAAAAATGAAAAACAGGAGAAATTGAGGGAGACAAAGCTCGAGCAACTGATTTGGGGTAAAACCCTTTGAAACCCACTCTTTGATTCGAATTTTAAGCTTGAGAAAGTTTGACTTTTGTTACATTTGAATAATTTTGAGTTAGGGTTTGAATTTGAACAATTGTTATTGGAATTGAATGAAATTTGGGGGTTTTTAGTTATTGGACTTGTTTAATTGATTGGAAATTGATTTTGATGGATTCTGGAGAATATATATTGAAATTGAACTTGAATTGCTGGTTTGGCATTTTTCCTATTTATGTCGGCATGCTGCCGAAATTTCTTTAAAAACTTATTTTTAAACTGAAATTAAATATGAAAACCAAACCTATGGATTGGATTTTAATTTTTAAAGAACCCCCAAACTGAATTATAAAATCATTTGTGAAATTTGGATTTGAGTCAAGGCACACTAATAGGAAACAATTAAACATGATTGAGCTTAATTCGTTTTAGGAATGATAAATATTTCCTAAGATATTACTTTTGTGATAAAGCTAGTGGAGAAGGTTAAGTATTAAAGCTTTAAGGGAAGCGGAGGCTAGGAGAACGGAATGCTAGCCCAGGTTTGACATCCGAGAGGTAGGATATTCTTGTCAATATCCTTGTTAGCCTCACTTTAAATGATTTTGGCCAATGAAAATGTTTTAGAACAAAACATGTTTAAAGAAAATGATTTTAAAGAAATAACATAAGAATGCTATTAAGTTTTCCAATGATTTTAGAAATGAGATTTTAAAGAGTATCATTTCTTAAAATGAAATATTTTAAGGAATGATACAACGCATGGTGGCCTCAGAGATCGGGATGTGGGAATTGTTGGTAGCCGAATCGAATTCGGTTGCGGAAGCGTGGCGGGGAGGCGTATCGTGTATAACAAAAATTTTCATAAAACTTTTGAGATACTCTATAGATTATATTAATTTAGGCACGAATAAATTAATCTCATTAATTCATTTATTAAGAACTCAATTAGGAAAAATACCTGGAGGCTGACTCGGATGATAACTTGACC